ACACATTTCTAGATATAAAGGTTTAATCTAACATAGTATGACCTTGAGAAATTATATGCAATTCATCAGATACCCATTGGGATGCAACACTACATACCACACAGACAAAACATGCAAACTATATCAAGTTTTTGGTATAAATTTTGCTTGGATTTTGAGGCAAAAAATTGCTGTTATTGCTTTCATGTCAGTAGAATGCATAAATGATATTTTCATATAGCTACAGCAGACACCGAAAAAGTGTGCAATTTCCCTCATGCCAAATTTCTAAGGAACATTCCTTATTGTCTATTTACAAAGTTTTAAAATGGCTGTTAAAATTGCCATATTCCCATTTTGTTTGAAGTTCAGCATAAGCTGTTGGTATCATTATGTTTTCTGCACTTGGAGATCCCATTACTCACCTTGAGAAAATTACAATCCAACTGGCTGGCTACAGCCCTGGCTAAGAGAGTTTTACCAGTACCTAGAGGACAGAAAATAAAGAATTATTACCAGTACTGATGACAATGCTGGAATTGATAAATTCAAATTTTCAAAAATGAAGTTTTTAAGAAGCACTTGTTAAGTAATTTAATTTCACTGATTTTGACATAAATTATATGCTAACCAGTGGGCAAAAAGTATTTTCACTGATTTGACATAAATTATATGCTAACCAGTGGGCAAAAAGTATTTTCACAGTATTCTACTACTAGTATAACAATCAATATGTTACCTGGGGGTCCAAACAGGAGACATCCTTTGGGTGGTGTAATACCAACACGTTGAAATAATTCAGGATTCATCAATGGCAATTCTATAACCTAAATCACATAATTTAAAACAACATTCAACACAAAGCAAATACCATAACAGTCAGGTATAATATGCTATGCTGCAAATATGCAAAGATAAATTGGAAACTTTCATCATGTAATGCTGTAACGTTTCCAAAGTTTGATAATCAGTCAAGACAGTACATCATTCAGTCAATTGTTAGAGCAAGTCAACTAGTGGTTGATCAAAATATACCGTGGTCATTTTTATTTACTTGCTATAAATAGTTTGTATACATTATCTGCATGTCAAGTGCTTTTCCAGCTAAATATCCATGTATGGTGGATAATTTGTATATAAATGATATCTAATTAAAAATAATTAATGTATAAATAACTTCAATTATTTTCTTGAATGGCATTTCTGTGTCTAAGTATGATAAAACTACCAAGCCTGAGGAAAATACCAATGTTAATTTGCACATTCAACTGGAGAAACTGCATCACTGGCATAATCCAGTTCACTGGCTGCATCAAGATTGACATCTCAAATTCAGTATTTGATATTTCTAGTCTTAACAAATATTTTCCCACATTTTATTTTAATTTTTCAACTCAGTTGTCCATTAGTTCACCATTTGTTTCTCAAAATACTATACACAACCTAAAATATTGTGAAAGTGAGGTAAAACCCACCTCTCTAAGTTCTCTAATCTGTTCAGATAAACCACCGACTTCTGAAAATGATATATTTCCCGGATCTTCATGGGACATGTTATACACCAAGGGATCAACTTCTCTTGGTAGATATCTCATTATTGTCAAAGTGGTCATATCTAATGCTACTCTGGTACCAGACTTCAACTTGATTTTGTCAACACCTCTTCTGCATCCAACTACATATCTTGGACCATTTGTTGCTTTAACTATAACTGCAACAGAATGGTACTGATCATAAATCTTTGAAGGATTGTAAAAATATATTATTTTTAGTATTGCTTAATAATACCATCCAACTACATATCTTGAACCATTTGTGGCTTTAACTATAACTGCAACAGAATGGTACTGATCATAAATCTTTGAAGGATTGTAAAAATATATTATTTTTAGTATTGCTTAATAATACCATCCAACTACATATCTTGGACCATTTGTGGCTTTAACTATAACTGCAACAGAATGGTACTGATCATAAATCTTTGAAGGATTGTACAAATTTATTATTTTCAGTATTGCTAAAATACCAGATAAGCACACCACGAAAACTAGTAGTTTCGTTAATGTGACTGATTAGCATTCACTGCTATTCAATATTATTATACATCTGTCACTGTAACGCCATAAGTTACAGCGTGCTGTAATTTTGTGGTATTTTACAGGGTATTTTCATCCTACCATATTAGGAAATGCGAATTCCAAATATTGAATGATCTTGCATGTAAGCGTTCTCTAATAATAAAAACAAACATGGCTGCCACCAGGGTTTGACCGGACTCCACACAAAGTTCGCTGATACTGCTCTAAACACTCCCGCTGTACTGTCTTTGTGCATACTTTGAGGTATCCTCGTAATAACCTCATACTATCATGACTTCAAGTATTGTCAGTCTGACAAACAATACAACAATTGTTACTTACATTTCTCTTCTGTAAGCTGCTTTAAAACTTCACCAACAATCTAAAAAAGATTCATCAAAATTATCTTTTTTGATGCATTTGCATAGCATGTTTAATAGCATTTAATTACTAGTAATAGCTAAAAACAAGGTAGGTTTGTGGCAAAACGAATGATTCAGGGCTCCCTGGCAAGTAAAGCTACCAGGTACCGGTACATGTAGGAGCCTAGGGAAAATTCTAAGACCATTTAGCTTTAGGGTCACAAAATTCTACATCTTACTTCTAGCCACTAGTAGTGCATGCACTTATATTGGTCCAGCATACAATAAATGCAGTTTTTGGTTTATAATATGTACATTTCTATAGGAGATATGCTTCTAATAGAGAAAATACAGTATTGGCAGTAAAATATAATAAAAATCCATTGTTTGGCGATTAAAAACTATTTGTTTCTCAGTCAAACTTTTGTTAACGGCCACCAGATACATACTGATTAAATCACGGGTACAGTTTAAATATTTAGCTAGCACAATTAACCTCCATTTTAAGCAGGAAAATAAATAACGGACCTCCACTGAGATGAATAGTTCCTAACGACGACCATGTGCTGAGCTATTAAGGGAGCAGTAAAAAAAAAGATTGGGGGAGGGGCTTCATTCCCCCGTAATTCTTAGTTTAATGATGATTAGTTATAATTTTTTTTTTAAAAACTCCATATATGAAATTTAGATAATTG